TTCTACGTAAACATAAACTACGAGCGCCAAGGGAGCGGCCGTCCTTTTCGCGGAATGGTGATTCCACGCAGCAGGATACGAGGACAGGACACCGGGAAACCAGTTCGCTCAGTGGAATTTATGCCATTATATATTCCAATTTACAAGGCATTTATAATTTCTCATTTTAAAGAGAGTTAAGATTTTAATTAAACCTTTTTTAAAAGAATATGTTGTTTTATTCTTCAAATAAATTTAAAGTTACATAATTTTAAATTAAGTCATGGATATGTTTAACATTTAAGGTTTTGCTTATCTTTAAAATTTGCATTTAAATGTTTTAAAACAAACGGCATATTTAATTCCAGTGCAAAGGTAAACTGTTTAATTTGTATGCGTCAATTTGTATCTGTGTGGGAATTTTTTAAAAATAGAGAATGAATAAGCCAAGCTTATTTTATATATAATATAATTAATTAATTTCTTTACTGATTTGCCTTAAAAGAAGAATGTTATGTTCATGTTTAACCAAATAGCAACATTTAATGTAATCTTATACATATATAAATTCATCAAAGATGATTGTTCATTAAAATAAATCAGATCTCTGAATCCATTGCCATTACATGTTTTATTTATTTTATTTTCATGTTGCCCTCCAGGAATCGGTTCGGGGCATTTGCATGCATAATGACCAATTAATATTTACCAACTCAGCCGAGCACGTTCGATAACCTTTTCGTACCCAATTGCAGTGTTACCCTAATGAACTGCCGCCACTCGAGGCCGAAGAGATGGCCCAAAGGGGCGGGTAGCTGAAATCAGCAGCTTAATGTTGCATTTTATCGCCAAGACGCTCCGTATCTCTCACCTTATCTCAGGCGAGGCAGAGGCAGATGGGGCAGACGAGGCCGACATTCTACCCTTGGTGGTGGGAAAGAAGGAACGAATTCGGCAGCATGTTTGTATAAATTTTTTATAGGTAATACACTTAAGGAAACGACACTTAGAGTCATCATTACAAGCGCTTCGGCTGCAATAACAGGCCATCTTGCACATAGTTTTCGCAATTTACTTGATCCCCGGCGTGCGGCAGGGATCCACGGAGGGGTGCCCTCTTCATCCTGGCAACTGCTGGCCTCAAGTGCCCCAGGCAGTCGATTAGCCATTTTTAGGCAAACTTCGGCCCGCAGCCGATGGTGTTTTCATCATTCGCTATTGGCCATTAAGGACACCGGTGGCAGGTTACGAGCTCAGTACGAAATATGCCAGAGTTTTAATCTTAAAGGAGCCCCGTGGAAAATCCTATCTCGCAGACAAGGATGTCCAGACAGAGTCTCCCCCTTACGCCCCGGTGATTCCGAATCGCTTCTAATAATGCAATTGATTCTTGATTTGCACTCTCCATTTCGAAATTGGCCGCCGGGCCAGAGGGGAAATTGGGAAGAGGGCGGAGGAAAAGGCAGCCGCGAGGGCAACGTGCGCATTCCATAAATCCCCGCTTCATTTTCGCTACATTAAACGTCAAAATATGAACCCATTTGTGAAACATTTTTGCCGCTGCCGAGCGTTCAGAATGGCACTAGCCCATTATAACAACAAAAACAAGGGCGACGGCAGCAGCAACAACAGGCGACCTCCTCGCGGACCGAGCAATATTACGGCAATAACGAGTCGGACAAAAGGAAAACTACCAAGCGCGGGAAAGGTCCGCGGAGAAAAGGGCCATCCGAAATGGTCGACCACTGAGTGGGCTTCATTTGAAAAAAAAATCGTATACAGACAAAAAACTAAATGTGAAATAGGTAATTTTTTATGAAACTTGATTTTAAAAATGAGCCTAGTCCATATATTCAAGGAAAAAATACCTAAAAACTAACTTAGGTAATACTTATATGGTGTGCGGACAGACTTATTAATAATATCACGATTTCCACATTTTTGGTAATTTTGTCGGTCAAAATAAAAATGTATCTTGTATTTATGACAATAAAACAAATTTGTTACAAAACCCAAAGGCGGTAAAAAGATTAAAACGTCCCCTAACCGTTAAAATTACTTTTACATCTGTAAATTTGACTTCCATTTTTTTGGTAACACGTAGAACACAAGTTTTATATTTATTTTCTCGCCAACATACATTTTGTAAATTTATGAATATATTTTCAATTTGTTTTAATTTTATTATGCTGGTGCTCTGTTAATATATATAAGGTTAAATAAACTCAGAATCAGACTTTCTTCACAAGTCAACAATTAAGCGTTATTAAACAAAGGAAAGAAAGACCATTTACCAATACTTTTTGTTAGCTTACTAATATGACTGCAATACATTTTCAAAGGGAAACTGAATTTGGTAGCCATATGATTAGATTTCTATCCGTTTTATAATCCCAAGAAATGCTTACAGATAGGTAAACTTTAAAGAAAAAGTTGTGATTGGAGAGGTCGACAAAATATGCTAAGAAGAGGCTGTGCTACAAGCAATTTCATCTTCTTATTCATGAATTTCCGGCGGAACGAGTCCGCAGAGTGTCATTCCCGCCGTTGTCCTCCACCGGAAGGGGAAATGGAAAATGGCAGTGGGAGGGGCGGAATCGAATCGAAATCGAGTCAATGAGATGCGCACGTTTCAGAAAAAAGGCAACAATGGCAACTCATATGAGGCATGCAGCAAGCCAGTCTCCGGGGGCTTCGACTCCCGCTGCAATTACGAGTATTTTTTAACTGCTTATTGCGTTTTCGTCCTCCCGATCCAATCCCCCGCCATTGCGAACCATTTCAGCCCGGATACGAGTGCCAGCAACAAGCAAACAAGGACCAACAACTGAATTTCATTCGATTTCAATGCAAAAGGGGATCTCGAGAGCTGGCCAATAAAAATTAACGATACACGCATACCCAGTTCACAAAATGTCGGGCCAAAGTATCTTATTTTTTTTCGCTTTTTTTGGTGGGTGGTTCAAAATTTCAATTTCGTTGAAAACTGAATTGCGATGTTCTTGTATGTATATTTAAAGCAGTTTTCGTAGAATTGAGTAAAAAAAAGTATTGGTGTTTTAATGTGATTTCTCTTATTAACGTAATACCAAATAAAAATTTAATTTTCCCTGTTTTGTATTCAATTCATAGGTGATTTTACCACTTTAATGCCTTGATGGGAAAATTTCTATATTTATTTGATTACCATAATGTTTGTATTTAATAGTACCTATTTAGCATTTAATAGCAATTTCCAATAACTTATATAACCTTATCCCAAACCACATGAACACCCAATTCCAACGACTTAGCCTCCCCCAAATCGCAATCACAACATCATTAAAAATCGCTGCATCACTTTTCTCAATTAACCGCTTGAGCATCGTAATTTTGCGACTAAAATCTAATTTAGTTCGATGGGAAATGTTCCATAAGGAAAAGTAAGGTGCTCACCCGACTTTTTCGCACACCAAGAGAACGCCAACACCCAAAGAGGTCGTAACAATATTTTCACGTTTTTCCCAAGTCCGGAATGAGTTTTTGAAATTTATTTCGGGTTCTGGCTGGAGAGAGACCCATCCAATCCCCGGAAAGCGGCCTTGTGGAGAGGGCAACCAACAGGCGAGTGCCATTATTTTGATACTCAAGGCTATTAACGTTAATTTTCGTTAGTTACGTAATACGTATTCGAAAGCACCTTACGCCCACACACACGCACACACACACACACAAATACCCGGGCACACAAATATCGAGTTCCATTACGGAAAATCCCCATACCTTTTTCAACTTTTTCTCGGGGGTAAAACGAGCATCCACCATGCGTGTACATGCGATGTGTGGAACTGCTTAACCCCACACCGCCCAACTGTGCTTCCAAACACCCCTTCAGCCCCCACCCCCTCCTCCACCTGCTCCTCCGCCTGCTTTTCCTGGCATTTCCCGGGTGTCTCAGTTTGTCCGGAGGCCGCCGGCATTAAGGAGATTTACGAGTACATGATTTTGCATGTTCGGTGCCCCCGAATGCCATTTAGATTCGCTTAGGTACATTTTCATCCTGGCACCCACACACACACTCGCCGTATAGATACACGAACGGGTACGTGTGTGTATTTGCGTACGCATTTAATGGCCCATTAGTGCTATCAAATACGCATAAATATCTGCACTTTGCCAGAAGTACACCCGGACAGATACCCGTACAAATTCAAAACACAGCTCCGGATGCGAGTCCGGAATAAATACCCACCCAAACTGGGAACATGTGCATGTGTGCCGGGAGCGTACAAATATTTGCAGATGCCAGTTTATTGCCGACTCGATGTCCCTTTGCAATTTAGTTGGGCGGTACGGGGGATTTGCAAATGCAATATTGTAAATCGCTCGCCCACAATCCTCTCCATCCTTTGAGCCCAAGCTATTTTGCTGGGAATAGCATAATAGGTTGTATAATTACAGGGCGTACATTCTGGCTAGCTAAATGTGTGGTTAATAATGTTGCTCGTAGACACAGCTCTTTTTACACTTAATAAGTAGTAAATTACCATCCTTAAGCTGATCAAATCGAATGATAATATTATAGTTTATATGTCTTGGAATCTAATAAGCCTATATTTGAATAGTCACATTTATAGTCTGTGAGGTTTAAATTTAAAATATTAATTTTTATTAATCTAAACCATGTTTGAATTGATAAACCAATTCCGGGAACTATATGATCGGGGTCACCAATAGCAAAACTAATGTCATGGTAATGTCAAGAAGATGTATTTTACATGCCTAATTCTACATTTTATCGCGCCTAACAAATTAATTATTGAATTTTGGAAATTAATGATACACAATTCAACTGCATCCTATTTAATTTCTTGAATATTTCATCAACAAAATGTTGATTTGATGAAATCATTTCGGGAATAGCAAATTTATCGTCACAGTTTGTTAACTATTAAAATAAAAGATTAATCATATATGCGATTTATCTTATAGACCTATCAAATCTTAGTAGACCTAACAAGTTAATTATTGAATTTTGGAAATTAGTGCCCCAAAAATTGCCGTTTTGTATTTTAAATTTGATTTCGAAGCTGACCATTTGGTAGCAGTGTGAGTGATGCAATTATGGCCGAAACGGCAACCGGAGCCGGAGCCCCCGGCACCGCAAACTTCGAGATGGTCCAAACAGGCAAAGCCGGCGAAGCCAGTCCGCTCGCCCGTCAGCAATGTGGGCCTGTACAAGGCCATCTTCTACAGCAACATTGGGTCCTTCCTCTTCGGGATCGCCGTGGGCTGGTCAGGAGCGGCGGAGAAGTCGGTGATGGAGCAGCACTCCTATGACTTTCAGCCCACGGCGGGTGAATGGAACGGCGTGTGCAGCCTGTTGACCTTGGGGGCGGCGGTTTGGTGTGTGCCCATGGGGTTCCTTTCGCGCTCCTGCGGCTGCCGGCGCACCATCATCCTCCAACTGGTGCCCAACACCCTGGGCTGGATCCTCTTGGTCTTCGCCCGAAGCATCCCCATGCTGTACGCCGGTCGCTTCGTCCTGGGAATGTGCGGCGGTGCTCACTGCGTGGTGGTTCCCATCTACAGCGCCCAAATCAGTCCGACTAAAAAACGCGGGGCAATGGGTGTGGTCTTTCAGGGGGCCTGCATTTGCGGCGTGATCTACAGCTTCCTGATGTCCATTGTCCTCGAGCTGTGGATCATCCACTGCCTGACCCTGTGTCTGCTCGCCCTGGGCCTGCTGCAGTTGCTCATGCCGGAGTCGCCGGCGTACTATGTGGACCGGGGTAACATTCCGCGGGCGGAGGCCTCGCTGCTCTTCCTGCGCGGCAAGAAGTACGACACCAAGCGGGAGCTCGACCATCTGACGCGGAAACCCACGCGGAGTGAGCAGGACGTGCGCCAAGGACCGCTGCAGGGCTTCAAGTATAAGAAAATACGAAGGAGTCTGGCGCGGATCTTGACGCTCGCCGTGCTCCAGAAGCTGTGTGGAGCCCTGATCTTCATCTTCTATGGCCAGGACATGCTGGAATGCCTCCAGATTCGCCGCGAATACGGAGCAGTCCTGGGCGCAGGGGTGACCATCGGGTTTTTCATCTGTTTTTTTCTGGTGGATCGAGTGGGTCGCCGGCCACTGCTGATCTTCTCTTCGGCCGCGGTCTTTTTGTCGTCCATTTTCCTGGGACTGTACTTCAAGATCTGGATGCAGTTGGGTGACGCCACACTGTCCTGGATCGCCCTCTTCTTCATCGTTCTGTTCGTTTGCTCGTACAGCGCCGGAGTGGGATCGCTCACCTGGCTGCTCAACGTGGAGCTGGTGGTGAGGCACATGCAACCCGTGGGCTGCTCCATTGTCTGCGCCTGCAACTGGTTGACCGCCTTCTTCGTCATCTGCTGGTTCACCTGCCACGAGGTCAAGTGCCAGCCATACCTCTTCCTCCTGTTCGCCATCGTCTCGGTCTTCATCACGCTCTTCGCCCTGGTCTACATCCCCGAAACCAGGGGCCTGTCCTCCGGGAAGATCCAGCAGCGGCTGGGCGGGATCATGAACCGACCGTCGGCGGTCATCTTCACATCCAGCAGCGACTCGTCTAACTCCTAGTCATTGTGATCTCAAATAAAATATATAATATATATATATATAATGTGTTCGTAGCCGTTAACTTAAAAGTTATTTAAATATTTTGAATTTGTCGTCTTTCCACCAATAGATTTTGAAATTAACAAACAAATTTACAAATAAATCTGTCTGGGGATATAAATGATCTCACATTAAAAGTTCATTTAATTTTAAAATGAAGTTTTTAAAATACAAATGTTGGAATAGAAAAATGATTGAAAAACAACTAGTTTTCGGCCCGAGAAAAACATGTTAAGGGGTTAAATTTATAATCTAATGCTAATCCTATTTTTGTTTTTTTTTTGAGTGGGAGAATAAAGTTATAGATTTTTAAGAAAGGTGGTCTTAAAAACCTTTTGAAGTAACTTTTTGTACTCTTGTCAAATCAAATTCCTAATCAACGGATTAAAAACCAAGTGAAAAATTCCCTAGCTATTTCAATTATTAAAACTTGCTGAATTCTTTAAGAGAAAATTGCGTTTTTAAAATACTTCCTCCCTTCCTTGGAACTACATTGTCTTCAGCATTATTAAACATTTATTTATGCAACTTGTGTGGCGACATTTTCAGTTTTTGCGCACTTTTCCTTGCTCGCGTAATTAAAAGTTATGTTTTACACTGTAAATTCATTGGCGGTGCTGGCACATTTATGAATTTATGCGCTGTGTTCGCTGAAAGCTGCGCTGAGGCGAACACGAACTGGAATCGAGTTCCACTGGTATTCTGGTGCGTGTATAAATATTAATTTGCATTTTGTCACATGATTTAGACGGCCATAAAGTCCAATTAATGAGCCACTGCAACTGGGGTCTCATTGAGATAAATGGCCACGAAGGGGGCGAAGTGGGGATCAGATGTTCGCCATTTATTTGCCTTGATCAGTGGACATTAGTATGACTTGTAAGTGTGCCGATTCCCAGCGGTGCTCTGCGATCGTTCCGTAATTAATCGAAGTCAACCAAAATTCCCCGCTCACCTGACCGCCAGATATTCACCTTCCCACGAGCGGCGCATGCAAATCGGGGTTGACATTTTGTGGCAAATATACGAGGCACCATAAAAATAGTTTACGACTTTTAATTACGGACACAGCGTGCGGTCGGGAGCCGGGAAAAAATACATAATGGCTGAGCCTTCTGGCCTTTGTCTTTCCCGGACTTCTTCCTGCCTAATTTATTGGGGTTTTAAGCCTCCATTTTGGTGGCTGGTCCTGGCCTTTGTAATTCCCCTGAATTATATCTCAATTCATTCCCCCCAATAAATTTGATAAATTTCTCATTTCGCTTACCTGCCCGCTGGGATCTTCCGATCTCCCATCTCCGATCTCGGATCGCCATGCCGCCGGATCGTAAATAAATGGAGGACTCGCGGTCCCACAGGCTGATTAAAATGTTCAACTCGGCTTGTCTTGGGTTTCTCGGCCGTTAATTATGCACTTCTCGAGGAAATTTAAATGTATAATTTCTTTAAGTGAAATGGAAAATTAATTATTCGAATGCGCGCTTTAAACGGAATGAACAAAGGCCGTTCGAATTGAATTGTAATGAGCTGCATTCGCTAATTGAAATGACATTTCAAGCTCTTATCGGCACATTTGAGACAAACTTGAAACGATACCCATATTAAATACTAACTTGCCAAGAAATTGTTGCTTTAGTATAATGCAAATTAAATTAATTCACATTCCATTGTGAATTGTAGTTAAAAAATATTATTAGTATGGACTAAGCCAGTCGATTTTCCGAACATAAAATAACGTAATAGGTTTTAAAAATAATTTACTTTGTTCTCAATAACAACTAACGAAGCATACATTTTGCAAAAATGTTAGATAAAATAAATCTGTAAGTATTATTTTGCAAAAAACAGAATATACTCAATAAGAAATGAGAGCTCGTAAAAATAATTATATATCAGCAATTCTTTATCTTTATCTTTCTTTATATATTAAACTCAACCCCCTTTAAAAGTCGGCATTGGATCGGCACATTGAAGTGCTCATATGCGAATGTATAAATCCGCATCTGATAAACCCTGAAATACACTCAATTTGTGTGCGGACCGACTTCATTTCGCCTTGAGACGATGGCCAAGTGGAAATCGTGGAAGGGGAGTGAAAAAGAAGCCAACAAGAAGCTGCCGCTGGGAAGCGCATGTGCATAACCGCCCATTTGCGTGGGCGAGGGCTTTTCCTTGGCTGCGCTCCTGCGAAAAGGATGGCTAGATGGCTGAGGTCCTCAGCCAACGAAGGTGAAACTGGAGTCCAAGTCCACGAACGTGGCTCCCAGTCGCCGGCAAAGGCAAGTCGTCGTATTGATTTTAGTGGCGCATTTACGCGCGATTATCGTTTAGTCGGCGATGCCCGAAGTATTACGAGAATTGTTATGGCCACCGAAATGGCTCCAAACGATGCTCCCAGCAATTGCCAAGACCGAGACTGCGACGACATCGTCATCGTCATCGTCTTCGGCTTGTGGCCACCAAAGAAGCTGAACCAGGAGCTAGACAACAACAGCCGGCGGGCTGCCTTCTTGGCCGAGATTGGGGTTGGGAAAAAGCACTGACTGGCTTCTCAAATTTCTTTTGTTCCAACTTGCCGTCGGGTGATGGCTAATTTCTTGTTGAACCACAAAAATTTAAATTAAAAGAGAGAAATGATTACAACTTCACCTTAATTGCGTGTTTGGCTAAGCCAATGTTAGTCATAAAGCTAAGATAATTAAATATTTAATTATGTTTAATTCATTTTTTATTTCCGTCACTGCCAATTAAAACATAGGGTTTTTTTCTAAAGGCTTAATTATATGTCTTGTGAACTTTTTTAAAAGACATACAAAAAAAAAGTTTCACAAGATTTTTTGTTCATGTTGATTTTAAAACCTCTTGATCTTAATAAAATAAAAAAAAAAATTTTTTTACGAGTTAAAGATTCAAATGTTATGAAATTTCGACCTCAAATTTAATTTTTATGTAAATAACAACATATATTGATTTTAATGTGATTTCATTAAAATATGTTTCAAATAGATAATAACGCAATTACCTTTCATTGATTTTAATAATTATTTAAGGCTTAAAAATATGAAAATTCACTCCTTTACATTTACAATATCTTACGCAATTGGTTAATCATTTAAAGGCATCAAATGTAAACATAAACTGGAATTTAGTTGATTGATAACAGCAACAGTACTTCTAAAACGACCAGAATTTTTGTAACACTTTTGAAGAGTTTCACAATCACAAACGCTTTCTCCAGATCCAATCGATCGAGCCAGCGAATATGGAAGCCCAAAGAAAAGCGACCCAAGGGAAAAAGAGAGAAACGCTGCTAAGTCGAAAGGATGCATGAAAATTGCTTTCATATTTCAGGTGATAATGGTTTCCTTATGTGAATTTACAAAACATTAAAGCTCCTGCCGCTGAGGCTGCTGCTGCTGTGTACGGGGTATACATAATTTGGCCAAAAAGCAATTCACGTTAATGGCGCAAAATCCCAAAAGGATAAGGCGGCGAAAAAAGTGCTCTCCCCTCTCCATTTCCCTTCGGAAATGGCGAAGGGACATCCGAAGATACGGGCACGATACGCGATTCGTGGGGCGGGATTTGGGATTTGGACCTGGGTTGGAGGACCTTCGAACCCCATACTCCCGGCATGGCGACGCCAGCGCCTCGTTGTTTATTGTAATGGGCGTTGTACCGGCGCCGCAGGACGAAGGACCCGTCCCCATCCGGCTTTTTGGGAGCTGCGCTCCCTGCCAAGGATATACGAGGTCATAAACGAGATTAAGAACGCTGCTGGCAAGCGGAAAAAACAGCAAAAAACAGTCCAAGACCAAGCAAGTGGAACCGGGCCAGGTACTTGGTCCTTGCTCCTCGCTTCGATTCGATTTTCTTGTATTGGTCTTGTGGGAAATGCCGAGAATAATTTCGTGCATCTTTTTACATTCCACTCCCACAGTCTTGGGTATTTTTTACGCTCAGCCAAGGCTCAAGGATTTGGATTTAACCTTCGAGCCAGGACCTTCTTGCCTAGCTGCAGCTCTTACCTGTTCGGTTTTTTCTAACACTCCAAGTGCAAATTTCCAAGCTGATGATAATAACCGTGAAATATGAAATCTGCAAAGTGCTCTGTTCTCTTTTTATCCTCCTGGCAATTAACCTTGGTCGCATTTTTACTGGCCGCATCCGTTGCGGTGGGTTAATAAGTGCAAAAAATGAGCACCCTGCCAAGGATAGCTGGCCATAACAATGAATTGTCCTTGAAGCTGACATTACCGATTTTTAGTTGCGATTTTGTAGAACACAAGTGGTGTACGGTGCAAAAATACAAGTCAAACAATATTATGACCTTCGTCAACAAAACATTAAAATTATCATTTTCCTTTTTTCATAGAGTATAAATTTATTTATCATACATTTCTTTATGCAATCCTAATCACATTCAGGATTTTTGGATCAAACATTTTTTAATGTCTTTAAATAAAAAGCCATATAAACTAAAAATAATCAAAATCCGGTTTACCTGTTCTTCAGTCGCCTTTTAATGGGTTCCAATGCAAGCGACAACATCCTGTTGCATACGAAATGCCGCGGTGAGCTTAATCCGGCCATTCAAATGTTTATCTTTCAATATGGAACGTCGTTAAACTAAAGGCAAAACGCGGTCTGAATTTCCAACGACTTAAAGACACTGGAATTAGACAAGAGCCGGCGAGAGGAACTGTAACAGCTGCAAAAAATTAAATGCAAATTAGAAAAACTCTCAAAAAACGCAATCGCATTAGTCTCAGATGTGAGAAATGTGATATAGGAATATATATCCGCCCACACCCAGCAGATAGAGCAAGTGCGGCAGAGTGTGCGAGCGGGCGAAGTAATTTTCCTTGAGACTCCCCAGCAGAAAAAGCAATTTAGTAAGCTGCTGGGCCGAGGTCGAGGCTTGTGGGGGTGGGGTACGGGTAGGAGAAGGGGGAGGGGAGG